GAATAAGGAAGACTGAAGGAGAGTTGATGCTTTTGAGCTGTGGTGTTGGCAAAGAATGCTGAAAGTACCATGGACTGCTAAAAGAACTAACAAATCTATCCTGGAAGAAGTGCAGCCAGAATGCTCCTTGGAAGTGAGAATGGCCAGACTTTGTCTCTCATACTTTGGTCATGTTGTAAAAAGGGGCCATTCCCTGGAGAAGGATATCATACTTGGTAAAATGGAGGGTCAGCAAATGAGGGGAAGGCCCTCAACAGGATGGATTGATATGGTCGGTACAATGATGGGCTCAGGTATAGAAGGATTATGGGGCTGGCACAAGAGCGGGCAGTGTTTCATTCTGCTGGGCATGGCGTAGCTATGTGTTGGAGATGACAGCACCTAACAACAACAAAACATCATTAGTACCACATGCAAGTGAAATCTTACTGAAGATAATTCAAAAATGATTGCAGCAGTATATTGACAGGGAACTTCCAGAAATGCAAGCTGGATTCAGAAGAGGACATCGAACAAAAGATATCATTGCTGAAGTCAGATGGATCTTGCCTGAAAGCAAAGAATACCAGAAAGATCTTTACTTGTGTTTTGTTGACTATGCAAAAGCATTTGACTTTGTGGATCATAACAAATTATGGAAACATTGAAAGGAATAGGAATTCAAGAATACTTAATTGCTGAGGGACCTGTACATAAACCAGGAGGCTGTCATTTGAACGGAACAAGGGAATACTGCATGGTTTAAAATCAGGAATAGAGAGTATCAGGGTTGTATCCTTTTACCATACTTATTCAATCTGTATGCTGAGCAAATAATCCAAGAAGCTGGACTATATGAAGAGCAACACAGTATCAGAATTGGAGGAAGACTTATTAACAACCTGCAATATGCAGATGACACAACCTTACTTGCTGAAAGTGAATATGACTTGAAGCACTTACTGATGAAGAGTAAAGATTACAGTGTACAGTATGGAGTACACTTCAACATAAAGTAAACAAAAATCCTCACAGCTGGACCAATACACAGCCTCATGATGAATGGAGAAAAGATTGAGGTTGTTAAAGATTTCATATTACTTGGTTCCATAATCAACACTAATGGAAGCAGCAATCAGGAAATCAGGTGTCATATTGCACTGGGCAAATCTGTTGCAAAAGATATATTTAAAGTGCTGAAGAGCAAAAATGTCATTTTGAAGACTAAGGTGCAGCTGATCTGAGCCATGGTATTTTCAGTAGCCTCATATGCATATGAAAGCTGGACAATGAATAAGGAAAACTGAAGAAGAGTTGATGCTTTTGAGTTATGGTGTTGGAAAGAATACTGAAAGTACCATGGACTGCCAGAAGAACAAATAAAGCTATATTGGAAGAAGTACAGCCAGAATGCTCCTTGGAAGCAAGAATGACCAGACTTCATCTCACCTACTTTGGTAATGTTGTCAGAAGGGACCATTTCCTGGAGAAGGGTATCATGATTGATAAAGTGGAGAATCAGTGAAAAAGGGGAAGGCTCTCAATGAGATGGATTGACACAGTGGCTGCAACGATGGGTTCAAACATAGCAAGGATTTTGAGGCTGGCGCAGGACCAGGCAGTGTTTGATTCTGTTGTCGCTATGAGTTGTAGCTTACTCAACAGAACCTAAAAAAACATATATAAGCTTGGCAGATGATATTTCTACATACATATTTGTATGTGCTATAAGAATATCCATATAAATAGAAATAACAGGGGGCAAAGTTATGATAACTTCTTAGCCACAGCTAAGATGGAGTGAGTTGATGGACCTGTGGGCTCGGGACCATGGTCATGGGGGACATCAAACTCAATTGGCATAACATACTACACAAAAACATTGTTCTACATCGTACTTTGGTGAGTAGTGACTGGGATCTTAAAAGCTTGCCACAGGCCATCTAGGTGCAACATTTAGTCTCTCCTCAGCTGGAGCAAAGAAGAATGAAGAAAACCAAAGACGCCTGGAAACAATTAGTTCAAGAGACTAGTGGAACACGTGAACCTCAGCCTATATAACCATGAGATCAGAAGAACTAGATGGTGCCTGATTACCACTGTCAACCTCTTGGAAAGGGATCAGTGCAGGAGATCCTGGATAGAGTGGGAGAAGAATATGGGACAAAACTCAAAATCATGAAAAGGACTAAGCTTACTAGTCTGATAGAGCCTGGTAAAACCCTTGAGACTGTGGCCTTTAGTTATCATTCAGGCCTGTAATTGAACTTACTCCCTACCTTCCAGCCAAACAGTAGATAGGCATATAGGGTGAACATTTACACCAGGTAAATAAACTCCTTAGCACAATCAGTCATGGGAGAACAGAAGGGCACTATTTGCACAGGGAGATAGTTCAAGGGGGACAGGAATGCATAGCAAAGAAGAACACAGGGAAGAGGTGACTATATGGAGAAAGTTGGAAGAGAGCTGTACATTGTGGGATTGTCACAATGTCATGAAACAAAGTGTGTATGAACTGATGTATGGAAAAATAAATTTGCTCTGTAAACTTTCGCCCATATCACAATAAAAATTAGAAAGAAAAAAAAGAATGTAGAAAGTCAGGGCCAAATTTACTAGGACAAATGCCACCATTTTGCAGTTTAGATCAAGATAGGGCCATCAAAATCATCTTGTTGGTCTGTTGCCCTTCAACACTGTAAGTGCTTGGAGGCTCTGAGGTTGGTATTTCATAATTGCTGTTGTTCACGTAAGGAGATCTGGTGGTGTAGTGTTGTTGTTGTTATGTGCCGTTGAGTCAGACCTGACTCATAGTGATCCCTCCTTGGGTTTCCAAGGCGGTATCACTATGGAAGTAGATTGCCTAACCTTCCTCCCGTGGAGTAGTAAAGTATTTGGCTGCTAACCAAAAGGTTTGTGGTTCAGACTTACCAGTAACTCTGCAGAAGAAAGATGGAGCAGACTGTTTCTGTCAAGATTTACAGTCTTAGAAACCCAATTGGGGTTGCTATGAGTTAGAATTGACTTGATGGCAGTGAGTTTGGTTGTTCGCATGCCGAGGTCCTCCAGATGGTTAACCTACTGATTTATTGTTTAGGTTTCTTTTTCTTTCCAACTGCTCTTATAGTTTGTGGAGTTTGGTTTTCAGCTCCTAGATGGTCAAGAAGCAAAGAAACTTAATGTCCAGTGGCTCAGAGCTCAACTTGGAATTGTGTCTCAGGAGCCTGTACTGTTTGACTGCAGCATTGCTGAGAATATTGGCTATGGAGACAATAGCCGGGTAGTATCACAAGATGAAATTGTGAGTGCAGCCAAAGCAGCCAACATACATCCTTTCATCGAGACATTACCCCAGGTAAGTTAACTGGTAACTTCTTAGGCTAACATTGGAATCAGTTGCAAACTGTTTTTATTCCAAAAACAGTTCCCCAAACTATACACCTACAATACCCTGTAACAGAATTTAAGTCTATGTACTAGTATTGTGGCTTTGGATGAGACTCTTAATTTCATGATACCAAGTTTTGTTATTGGTAAATGGGAATATATGCCACTTCATATGAAGGTTGTGAGAAGCAAATAAGGTGATATATGCCGAAAGCACCGTATCTCAGATTACAACTAATGGATGTTTAGTTTAGGCCTATGGTACTTTTTTTAAGTAATTTTTTTGAGATAATTATAGAATCAAATGAAAATGTAAAGAATAATACAGAGCTCTCATTTACCCTTTAACCAGTTTCCTCCAATGATAACATTTTGCAAAACCTTAGTATAATATTGCAAGTAGAATATTGACGTTGATATGATCCACTAATCTTACTCAGGTTTCCCCAGTTTTACTTGTAATTGTATATGTATGTACACCTACTCCTCACTTACCAACTTTCTCTTTATCCAACATTTCATATTGAATACACAACTGTATTTTAAGGTTGGAGCCTGAAGTAGGCAGGCCGGGGCTCAGTGCCTGCTTTTCACTTGATGGTGGCTATTTATTAAGTCTGGGGCCTGAAGTAGGTGGGCCAGGGCTTGGGGGCTGCTTTTTGCTTGTGGAGGCTCTATTTTAAGCCCCTTGACTGAGATAGGCAGGTGCAGAAGGATTAAAAACAACTAAGGGAGATCTGGTAGCATAGTGCCTAAGGCACTTGACTGCTAACCAGAAGGCTAGCGGTTCAAACCCACCAGCCACTCCTCGGAAGGAAGGTTGGGCAATCCTACTTCTGTAGTGATACTGCCTCTGAAACCCAAGGAGGGGTCGCTATAGTCGGGGCCAACTCAACGGCAAACAACAACAACAACAAAAGGGAGATGAACTTATCTTGTGGTGGCTTATATGTTACTGTAAGGCTGGAGGCTATGCCACCATGTTACAAAATGCCAGCAGGGTTACCCATGGTGGGCAGGTTTCAGCAGAGCTTCTGGCCTAAGACAGACTTGGAAGAAGGAAGAGGCCATCCACTTCTCAAAGAACTGGACAGTGAAAACCTTATGAATAGCAGTGAAACACTGTCCAACATAATGCTGGAGGATGAGCCCATCAGGTTGGAAGGCACTCAAAATTTGACTGGGGAAGAACTGACTCCTCAGAGTAGAGATGACCTTAATGATATGAATAGAGTAAAACGTTCAGGACCTCCATTGGCTGATATGGCACAACTCAAAATGAGTAGAAAGAGATGCAAACATCCATTAATAGTTGGAACATGGAATGCATGAAGTATGAATCTAGGAAAATTGGAAGTTGTCAAAAATGAAATAAAATGCATAAAGATCAATATCCTAGGCATTAGTGAGCTGAAATGTACCAGTTTTGGCCATTTTGAATCAGACAACCATGTGATCTACCATGCTGGGAATGACAAATTGAAGGGAAATGGTGTGGCATTCATTGTCACAAAGAGTGTTTCAAGATCTGTCCTGAAGTACAACACTGTCAGTGATAGGATAATATCCATATGCCTCCAAGGAAGACCAGTTAATACTACTATTATTCAAATTTATGCACCAAACATCATAGCCAAAGATGAGGAAATTGGAGATTTCTACCAACTTCTGCAGTCTGAAATTGACCGAACATGCAATCAGGATGTGTTGATTATCATTGATGATTGGAATGCAAAAGTTGGAAACAAAGAAGAGTTACCAGTAGTTGGAAAATATGGACTTGATGATAGAAATAATGCTGGAGATCACATAATAGAATTTTGCAAGACCAACAATGTATGCATTGCAAATACCTTTTTGCAACAACATAAGAGACGACTATACACATGGATTTCCCAGATGGAATACACAGGAATCAGATTGACTATATCTGTGGCAAGAGGCAATGTAGGAGTTCAGTATCTTTGACCAAAACAAGGCCAGGAGCTCACTGTGGAACAATCAACTGTTCATATGCATGTTCAAGTTAAAGTTGAACACAATTAAAACAAATCTGCAAGAGCCAAAATATGACCTTGACAATATCTTTCCTGAATTTAGAGGCCATTTAAAGAATAGATTTGATGCATTGAACACCAGTGTCTAAAAACCAGAGGAATTGTGGGATGACATCAGGAATGTCATCCATGGAGAAAGCAAGAGGTCATTTAAAAGACAAGAAAGGAGAAAAAGTCCAAAATGGATATCAGAAGAGACTCTGAAACTTGTCATTGAGTAGAGACTAACTAATGCAAATGAAAGCAGTGACAAGATAAAAGAGCTGAATAGAAGATTTCAAAGACCAGCTCGAGCAGACAAAGCCACTTAGTGTAATGAAATGTGCCAAGACCTGGAGTTAGAAAACCAAAAGGGAAAAGCATGCTCGGCATTTCTCAGGGTGAAAATACTGAGGAAAAAATTTAAGCTTTGAGTTGCAATACTGAAAGATTTTGTTGGCAAAATACTGAATTATGCAGGAAGCATCAAAAAAGATGAAAGGAATACACAGAATCACTGTATCAAAAAGAACTGGTTGATCTTCATCCATTTCAGGAGGTGACACATGATCAAGAACCAATGGTATTGAAGGAAGAAGTCGAAGCTGCACTGAAGGAATTGGAGAAGAACAAAGCTCCAGGAATTAATGGAATAACATTGAGATGTTTCAACAAATGAATGCTGCACTGGAGGCATTCACTCGGCTATGCCAAGAAATTTGGAAGACAGCTACCTGGCCAACTGACTGGAAGAGATCCTTATTTGGACCTATTCCAAAGAAAGGTGATCCCACAGAATGTGGAAATTATTGAACAATATCATTAATACCGCATGCAAGTAAAAATCTTACTGAAAATAATTCAAAAACAGTTGCGGCAGTATATTGACAGAGATCTTCCAGAAATGCAAGCTGGATTCAGAAAAGGACATGGAACAAGGGATATCACTGCTGATGTCAGATGGATCTTAGCTGAAAGCAAAGACTACCAGAAAGATGTTTACTTACGTTTTATTGACTATGCAAAAGCATTCAGTTGTTTGGATCATAACAAATTATGGATAACACTGAGAAGAATGGGAATTCCAGAAGATTTAATTGTATTCATGAGGAAGCTGTATGTAGATCAGGAGGCTGTCCTTCAAACAGAACAAGGGGATACTGCATGGTTCAAACTCAAGAAAGGAGTGTAGCCTATCACCAAGGCTGTATCCTTTCCCCATATTTATTCAGCTGGTATGCTGAGCAAATAATCCAAGAAGCTGGATTATATGAAGAAAAGCGTGGCATCAGGATTGGAGGAAGAAGACTCATTAACAACCTGCAATATGCAGATGACACAACTTTGCTTGCTGAAAGTGAGGATGACTTGAAGCCCTTACTGATGAAGATTAAAGACTACAGTTTGCAGTATGGATTACACCTCAATACAAAGAAAACAAAAACCTCACAACTGGTCCAGTAAACAGCTTCACAGTGGATGGAGAAAAGATTGAAGTTGTCAAGGATTTCATATTACTTGGTTCTACAATCAACCCCAATGCAAGCAGCAGTCAAGACATCAGACAACATATTGCATTGGTCAAATCTGCTGCAAAAGACCTCTTTCAAGTGATGAAGAACAAAGATGTCTCCTTGAAGATTAAGGTGCACCTAACCCAATCCATGGTATTTTCAATCGCCTCTTATACATCTGAGAGCTGAACAATGAATAAGGAAGACCGAAGAAGAGTTGATGCTTTTGAGTTGTGATGAAGAATGCTGACAGTATCATGGTCTGCTAAGAAGACTAACAAATCTGTCCTGGAAGAAATGCAGCCAGAATGCTCCTTGGAAGTGAGAATGGCCAGACTTCGTCTCACCTATTTTGGTCATGTTGTCAAAAGGAACCATTCACTGGAGAAGGATATCATGCTTGGTAGCATAGGGTCAACGAAGAAGGGGAAGGCCCTCAACCAGATGGATAGACTCAGTGGCTGCAATGACGGGCTCGGGTATAGCAAGGATTGTGAGTCTGGCACAAAACCGGGCAGTGTTTCATTCTGCTGTGCATAGGGTTGCTATGTGTTGGAGATGACTCAATGGCAACTAACTACAACACAACCAACAACAGTGTTCTGAATGGGAGAATGACTCCCTCCTGAGTCCCAAGTCCTTGATCCCTCACATCCCACCCCTGTCCCCTGTCTTGGGTGTGAATAAAGTAAAAGAGAGAAGGAAGAAAAGCCAGACACTGGGGCTTTGGGCTATTAACCTGCAGACAGGCTCCATCCACCTGCCTTCCCTTGTCACCCCAACCTCTGAGCAGAGCTGTGGCTTTGGGCCATGAATCTGTGAGAAGGCAGCAGAGAGGTGCAGACAGGACCTGCAGTAGTCACTTTGCCATGTATTCCGTTTGTGTGTTTGGGGGTGCTGGGGCCAATAGGCAACAGTCTCAGGTGGGTGAGCATTTTTTGGAGAGCAGGAACTCTTCATGAGTCTGGGTAGGACTGGTCCCTTCCTGGCTGCAAATCTTGACCCAGTCAGCTCTACCTGTAGTTTAAAATGGCACAAGTCAACACACCCACCTTAAGTAAGGTGGGAGTCACAGGGAGAGACTGAGGAATTGTAGACTGGTTCCAGAGGAGGGAGCAGCTCCATGGGGCCACCTGCAAAATGACTCCTAAAACCTGAGGAGCATTTAATCACTGAAGTTCTGCAGCACAATGCCGATTTTCACATTACTGATAAGTGAGGAGTGGGTGTATTTTAGTTCTGTACAATTTTACTGCATGTGAAGATTCATGTATCCACTACCACAGTAAGGATACAGAACATTTCCACCACCAAAAGGATCTTTCATGTGGCCCTGTTACAGCCAAACCTACCTCCCTACTGGGCTTACTCCTCTTTCCCTCATGTATCTCCCCACCAACCCCTGGCAACCACTAGTC